GAGTCGATATGAAAAATTTATTCTATGTTATTCTATATGCTATTTAATATTATTTAGGATTAATTTTTATATTCCCTCGTTGACTCGTAGATCGACCGATTTCGGTTGTTATTTCATCTTAGGAAATGATCGTCAAGTGATACGATTTTGAGGTAATCGATAGCTCGCTGTCTCGACAGCGACATTAACCTCTGAATAAATCCAATTCGCTTGATAAATCCACTTCCGCCGCTTCCTGCTTCCGGCATTTTAAAAGCTGATTCTCGTTTCCGGTTTCCCTGTCCCTTGCCATATTTGTTCCAAATAACCTCATGCATATTTCATGACTCAGTTCGAATACTAGATTTTATTCGTCGGAGGACTTGAAATCAGAATCGTCCGTGTTTCAAAATGAACTTTTTTTTTTTTTTTTTTTTAGTAATATCTAAGCTGTCTGAGTTATCTGAATTAGGATAGTGTTGGTAGGGATTTCAAATTCTCGGAACTCGAGTCCGAAACTTTCGAAAGACTTAAAGCGACGATTTTATTCTGTGAGAAGAATTTCGTGTTTCAACTGAACTGATGTTACAAATAACTTTTGTATAAACTTTTGCCACGAGAACATTGCAAAACGTCGAAAATATCTAATTCAAATTTTCAGTAAGTTTAAGAATGCCGGTCACTCTTCCACCATGCTGAAAAGTCCTTTGGAATGTATTGTTGAACCCAAAACTTTTTTAAGGGATCGAAACTTTCGAAACTTCAGAGTGTAGCGTCGATGTTCGTCTAATAAGATATTTTTCTTTTTCTTTTTTTTTTGGGTAGATTCTTTAAAAGATACCTCTCATTTTGATTAGACTTTTTAGTTGGATACCTTCGAAAATTATCGTTCCGATCGATCACACATTTGCTTGCATTTTCTAAAAAAAAACACGAACGTTTGCAAACTATCTCTCGAGCTCTTCTTTATTCATATTTATTAAATGATTTTCCGCTTCATTCGTTGATTCTCTGCTTCTCCTTATCCGAGTTTTCAATCGCGAAAAGCTGAGGTGTATGACTCGGTTTCAGGTTATGGCTCGGCCCAGTTGCAGGCAAACGGAAGTCGATATCTAATTGTAAGATCCGGGAACAGGGCAAATAAACCATAGACTTAAGTGGCTTTCACGAGAAACATATTAGGAAGTCTCTGCTCTGTTCGTGAAAATCTTAACGGAAGAGTGGATATCACTGTAGGGTGCCATTATTTTTTCCCCTAGAATCTTTATATTAGAGTCTAAGGATAGATTCTGTGAGTGAAAAAAATGTCATATGAACGTGTGCTCGAAATTTCTCCTTCAATGAACTGTAACTGTAGAATTCAGAAATAACAGAACAATCATGAGAGTGGCACGTTTGATAGGATGAGAGAATAATCAAAATATGAAAATCGAGCAATTTTGGGAGCTTTCGATAACAATCCCAGAGAAACTATCCGAATTTCTTGTCAACTCCATAGCTAAAATTACCTTTTTTTGTGCAAAATGAATTGCAGCCAAAAATTTTAAAGGATAGTCTATATAACATAGAGATATAACATACAGATTATATACACAGTATATATAATAATAAATTATTATTACAATGAAAAATTAATTAACAGTAAACCAATACTATCCCTACAGCAATCAGTTTCCTTTGTACCAAAGAAAGGACGCAGATAATTGTCAATTCAATGCAAGAAA